TTAGAGCTGTCCGGAAGGCTCCGTCCTCATTCAACGGTGGAGGGAGACCGGGGAAGTCTTCCTTTGTTACCGGGATTAGCTGGAACCGTGTCCCGGTTAGCTGTAGCGTTAGCACCGCTAGCTAGCACTTAGTTTCTTCTGCTCTGCTCCACGACCAGCTGACTGCTCTATGCTGATTTTATGTGCCTTTTTGATATTTAAAGCAGTTGAAGCAATGAAACAGTTCTTCCTGTGCTTCAGAGGCCGCCAGCAACAAGAATTCAGAAACTAAGAGTCACTTAAAGGCTTACACATACAAACACTTTTTTGTTGTGGTATCTCTCACTAGGTTAGGTTGATTTGTAAAAAAAAGAATGTGTTTTAGACCTAAATATGGTCTTTTCTAGCCCTCACTAGCTAATCTTGTGTAAAATATCCTTCTGGGAGGCGACAAAAAGACTCCTAATTCCTTTGACTGTTCTTACAAGCCAGAAAACAGATCAGGAGCAAATCAAGTCACTGTGTCTGATCATTACCAACCACACAGTTTTTTAAATAATGTCATCAAAACCACAAAATCTGAACCTGTTTTGCAATTGTTTATATCAATAAATACTGATACATGGACCTATTTAAAGCTCTTTCACACACTTGAATGACGTCATTTTAATTCATGAAAGAGTTTATTCCCTGGAAAGCAGCCTTTTAAAATATTACATTGACAAACAAGAATGAGTTTCATTAATAACAGGTCGGGACCTTGAAGACGTTAGTCTTTTCGTAGAGGAGATAAATGAATCATCTCCTTTTACAGGACAGCTTGACCTCATTTTGTATTTGCATAGTCAGCTAACTAAAACAAATTAGGGGAATGTAGAGGTTTTTTCTTTGAGTTTTGCACCTTTTTTCTGGCATTGCCGCATGCAGAAAGGCGTTTTTAACCCTTTAAAGCCTGATCCAAGAATAAAACCAAACAGAAAATTACTTTTTTATGTTTTGAATCCCTTATTTGGCCTTTTAACAAAATATGTAAAAAGAAAAAACAGAAATACATTTTTGATATTAATAATTTATTACTAAGCGATAAATCCAGATTATTTTTTGTGTAGTCTTCTGCCCCCTGTTATCAGGTGTATCTGATTGTGTACAATAGAAAAATAATAATAAAAAAATATAAATAAATGAATAAATAAAATAAAAATAAATATATAAATTATTAAATATATAAATAAATATATGAATAAATCAAAATAAAAAAATTAAACAATAAAAATTACGATTTTGAGCAAAGTTTTTACCATTAAATTATGCAAAAGGTGTCAGACGCAACACATTTCAGAGACCGTATGAATCAAATATGATACATTTGGCATTACAGGGTTAAGCTTGTGGGTCTGTGTGTGTTTTTGGGTCTTTATGCTGCTCAGCCTCAGGTCAGATTTGGCTGTATGCCAGCAACATCTGCAGGGGTTTAGAGAGAGAAGAAGCTGAAGATAACTGATCAGTGTGTGCACACTGACATGCACACCTGCCCCCCACGCCCCACTTATTGAATCCATGAATCAATTTAATGAACAGAAGACGGGGTCAGGACTTCAATAAACACCCCACCAAGCTTTCAATTTAATGTCTGCCCAATGAATGATACTGTATGTTCTACAAACATCCATTGCAAAGGACCTTGTACATATTGGAAATAGAGTTAGAAACATTCCCCCTGTACAGTATTCGCTTTTTACCTCAGATTCTCCAGCTTGTGCATAAACAATTTAGCCAGACTGCAGATGAGTTTAACTCTGTAATGCCAAATATATCATATTTGATACATACGGTTTCTGAAATGTTTTGCGTCTGACACCTTTTGCGTAATTTAATGGTAAAAACGTTGTTCAAAATCCTGATTTTTTTAATTGTTTTTTTAATTTTATTTTTATTTATTTATCTATTTATCTATTTATCTATTTATCTATTTATCTATTTATCTATCGATTTATTTTTATTTTTTGTATTTTATTTATTTATCTATTTATCTATTTATCTATTTATCTATTTATCTATTTATTTATATATTTATTTTTATTTTATTTATTTATTATTTTATTTATTTATTTATTTTTATTATTATTTTTCTATTGTACACAATCAGATACACCTGATAACAGGGGTCAGAAGACTACACAAAAAATAATCTTGACTTATCGCATAGTAATAAATTATTAATATAAAAAATATATTTCAGTTTTTTCTTTTTACATATTTTGTTAAAAGGCCAAATAAGGAATT